ATGTCTTAAATCACTGTCCTATTTTACATGCACACTTAGCATCCTCCACACCTGAATTTTTCTTCAATATTAAAGACAATCTTTTTGCTGAGGAGATATGGGAAATCCCTTTGGCTGCTTAGTCATTTACAGGAGTAAAACCTATATGACTCTCCCTTTTACACATTCCACCTTTAAATATAATTGTTTTAGGAGACACACGTCTGAAATAAAAAAAGCAGTGTGTGACGCAGAATTAGGGAGTAGAACCAGAAAGGAGTTTCGACACCTACAGAAGATTAATGGCTAGTGTGCAAAGTGGGTCATCCAAAGCATCCATCTTGCCTGACATAGGTTTAAAATAATTACAGAATTAATACGTGGGATTTAATAGGGTCATAAATATTTGAGACATTCTTTACCAGCACATATTAAATGTGTCTTTGGAACTTGCGTGACATTTCAGCATGCCCAAGTCTGACTAAAAACTATCTGCCTGGATAGTGGCAGATATGATAATGAGTGGTAATATAAATCCTACAGAAGTGTTCATTTATTCAACAGTCAGACAAGGGAGTCTTGTGAAAAGAGGCAGTAGTGTGTTTTCTATGGATATGCTGAGGCTGACCTTGCATGGACTGATTTTTCAAATGATTTGATTAAAAATTCTGCTGACTATCAGGTCCAATATTCTGTGTACAAATATGATCACTGAAGACAGGGATAAATGATATTGACTGATGGGAAATCCTTCTCTCTTGACAGTAATGTTTGATACATGTTATCGATAAAAAACAGCATTTATAGTATTGTACAATTACAAGCTACAAATTGTTTACAACTGTTTAAAGAACAAAATGATTGGGAAAACATCCATTCACTCTAAAAAACAATCTGATAATTTAACAGTTTTTGGATAAAGTGGAGAGGGATTAGAACACCTCAACACAACAGTATGAATTAAACTTTTATGGCCTCCTTTCACATGGAGTGGACTCCATTATTATCAGCAGGGGATCTGTCTTCTGATCCCCTGCTGAGCCAAACAGGTGGATGACAGGTCCATGTCCGCTCAGTTTATACAGAATGGACAAGGACCGAGCCTGCTCTGCTCCATTGACCGGCAGGTGTTAACGGACTCCGATGTCTGTTAACATCCGCCTGCCCTCTGATCTGATCTGTCTAGATGGAGGGAGACATATCCACTTCTCTTTTTTTTTTTTAACAGACTAGGTCAGATTGGAGCTAGGTGGGTGTAAAGGGACACAAGTCTGTTTACACCTGCTGGTCCATAGGGGTAAATAGACCGTCCAATAAGGTCAACCTGAAAAACTGACAAACGGACCTGATCAGACCCAGGTTCTCCTGGGTTCTGCCTCCTCTTTGGCTCAGTCAATCACAGCCAGTGGGGAGGGAGTAGGGGGGTGGGGCTAAACCATGCTCTGTTGTGTCTTATGGATGGAGGGAGTGAGCTTGCAGCAGTGCCCCCATAGCAAGCGGCTTGCTAAGTGGTCACTGCACAGAAGGGAGAAGCCAGAAGCACTGGCGGGGGACCTGAGAAGAGGAGGATTGTGGCTGCTCTGTGCAAAACCACACACAGAGCAGCTTAGTATAACATGTTTGTTATTTTAAAAAAAAATTAAAAAGAACCTTTAGTATCACTTTAATTCTGATATGGTATGCAACTATCTTCATAAGATAGAAATATAGTATATTTTTTTTACTTTGCATTGCATTAGTGATTATGACTTGCAGTTATTCAGCTAAATCCTTAACTGATTACATATGTAGGACAGTTTTTCAATATATATCAAATTGTTTTGACTTTTTACCTAATGTATAATAATTTAAACTTTCTCAAATGAGTGTACAAATATTCTGCAATCCTGTACACTGTGTACGATTTTCCCATTAAATGAATCAATGTTTCTGTGCTCACAAAACTTACTCTTCCTATCCACCTATAGTTATCATGCTGTTCCCTAGACATTCAGTGTATTGATCCCTCCGCATTGCCCTCTACACTTCAGTCTCACTTCCCCTTCCTCACCTCCACCTCTGACACTCTTATCAAGATCTTTTGTTTTTTTCACTCAAGAGCATCTCCCATGTGTTCTTGAAACAGATGTACAGAAAATCAAAGTTATTCAGCACTGCAAATTATTAGTTTAACTTATATATTATTATATATGTTTATTAATATTATTAATTATTATTAACTAGATACAGTAACTTTATCAAACCAAGCACAAAAAGCTCCATGCACACGGGGTGTTTTGATAACGATGGTAACGTTCGCTATGTAAAGTCACATTAAAAACAAGAGTTTTTCAGCTTTTTTAAGTGTTTTTGCATTAGCGTTTAGCAGTGTTTTCCCACGTTTGCATTTTTTAGGGGTTTTTTTGAAATTAAAACAAATTTTTTTGGGGTCAAAAAAAAATTTCCAAAAATGCCGGTTTGCGGCGTTTTATCACAATTTACTGTGTTTTGATTGTGTTTTTTCAGCGTTTAGAGCATTTTTATAGCTAAAAAAACTCCTCTAGAAACCCACTATCCCTGGGTTTTTTTCCAGCCAAAAACCGTCCTTGCTAAAAAACATTGATTACAGTTAGAGATGGGCGAATTATTCAAAAATTTGATTACGGCTGATTCGCCGAATTTGAGGAAGAAATTCGATTCGATGTCGAATTTATTCGCCTGCAAAATTTAACTTATAACAAGGGTTTCTTGGCTTCAGAGAGCAGTTTATATTATAGTGCAGAACACTGTACCTGTAATTTTAAATGCCCTTGGAGATGAAGGAAGGAGTAGGAGAGCGAAGGGAGAAGGATGAGAAGAAACGGAGAAGGAGAAGGGATGAGAGAAGAAGGAGAAGGCATGAGAAGAAGGATGAAGAAGAAGGAGAAGAGCATGAGAAGAAGGAGATGGAATGAGAAGGAAGAGAAGAGATGAGAAGAGAGAAGATGGGGGGATGAGAGGAAGGAAGAAGGATGAGGAAGAAGGGGAAGAAGGGGAAAAAAAAGGATGTGAAGAAGGAGGAAGGATGAGAAGAAGAAGAAGGGTATGAGTAGAAGATGAAGGCATGAGGAAGAAGGAGAAGGGATGAGATGAAGAAGAAGAGTATGAGAAGAAGGAGAATTCCAAGCCGGCAAAAAAGTGTATCTGCAGAGCTCCGCTATTTTCTTAGCGGAGCTCTGCAGATACACTTTGCGGAGCTCTGCAGTTACCTTTTTTGCCGGCTTGGAATTCTTCTTATTTTCATACTTCTTCTTCTTCTTCATCCTCATCCATCAATCTCGGAAGAATGAGGATGAGGAAGAAGAAGAAGAAGTAGGATGAAATTAGAGAATTCAGCCGGCAAAAAGTGATATTGCAGAGCTCTTCTATTTCTGACAGTTCTTGAATAATTTACATTTACAGCGGTTGAAACTTGTATTATTTGTTTAAAAAAAAAAACAAAAAGAACAATGTTTCAACCGCTGAAATGTGAATGTCAGGAAGTCAGAAAAAGCGGGTTGAGATACCTTAGCGGGCTCGCAGATACACTTTTTTCCGGTTGGAAATTTTTCTTATTTTCATCCTATTTTCTTTTTTCTTCTCCTCCTCAGAAAGAAGAAGAGGGTGAGGTGGGAAAAAGGGAAAAAGAAGGTGAAAATAAGAAAAATTCCCCGCCAGCAAAAAAATGATCTGT